TTTTTTTTTTTTTTTTTTTTTTTAAATCTAATAATACATTATTTATTTATTTTTATATCTTTTATAATAGGATTATTATATTTTTTTATGTTTTTTCACATTAATACTTATTCTTGTAAATTTTAATCTTTCTAAATTAATCCATTTTTCTTTTTTTTTTTTTTTACATTTGTTCATACAACAAGTTCTGTAAGTCCAACTGTTTATCATTGTTATTATTTTTATTTTTTTTTTTTATTAGGATTTAATTTTATATGCATCATTTACACTGTTTAAAGTTAAAGATATAAATTTTATTAATAAAAATTAAATGTATATTTTAAATTACAAAAGTATGCTAATAACATCTTTTTCCTCACGTATAAAAACTGTAACAAAAAATAAAAATACCTAAAATAAATGAAAAACACTGAATTTTTTTTGAAGAATTACTTATTTTTGGATAAAAAAAAGTAAAATAAAATGAAATAATTTATTAATATTATTCATAGATAGCTTTGCGTATTACTTAATAGATAAGGAAAAACAAATTTATAATTTTAGAAGGGGATATTTTATTTAAAATTTTTTTATTTTTTTTGATATTTTTTATTTAGATTCTTTTATTTAAAAAAACAGGAAATACATGTTTTTTTGTATTAATAAAGATTTTTTAAATAAATTTATTTTAAGTGATTGTTTTTCTTTTCATAATTATCCATAAATACTTACACATCCCTTAGGATAATCGAAAATTATTATTGTTAAGAGGATACTAAAAATGCTAAGGAAAGAAAAAAATGTATTTTAAAACAATATAGAAAAAAAAAAAAAAAAAAAATGTAATACTTTTTTTATCTGAAAGTAACTTTCATAGAAAAAATAAATATTAAATTATATTTTAATTTTAAAAAATTCTTTAGATACTTCATTAATAAATTATATATATAATTTTTTTAGACAGATGTCAATGATTTAGATATAATCTAAAATATGTTGAACCATTAAAAATGAGCGTTTTTTTTTTTTTTTTTCTTTTTATTTCTATAAGAAATAACTAAATAAAAAAGCTTTTCTTTTTTTTTATTATATAAAAGTTGTTATATAGATTTAAATCTATGAAATGCATATTAATAAAAGTAGAAAATATTAATAGGTTAGCAAAAAAGAATTAAACTTTAGTATATTACCACAACATTCACTTTAAAGATTTAAAAAAAAAAAAGAAAAAAGCATAGTAAAAAAAAAAAAAATTAAAATTATCTAATTGAAATATTTTTAAAAATATATTTATTATAAAAAAAAAAAAAAAAAAATTATGCACATGGTGCACATCTTTTTTTTTTTTTAAATTGTTTTAACTTTTAATAATCCATAGATAACATAAAAAAAAGAAAATTCTATAAAAAGATTGATATAAATGTGAAGATAATAAAGTTATTTTATAAATATTAAATGTTGAATTATAAACTTCAAAATATGTTATACTAAATTTTCTACATAAATAAAAATAATAAAATTTTTAGAAATTCCAACTTTTAGAAAAAGAAAAGAATGAACTGATTCAGCAAGATTTTATGAATAAATATATCAAAACATTGAATATTAAGAATTTATTATTTTTTTTAACTACATTTATAAACTACATAATATTTTTAAATAGTCATTATATACAATACTGAAATATGCTAGTTGAAACATGTAATAAAAAAAAGATAAAAAAAAATTAAAAATAAAATTAATAAAAGTTTTTATATATGAATAATGTAAAAATAACGTAAGTTATAGAACTACATATTATATATGTTTTATCTTTAAAAATTTCGTTATATTTTATTTTTTATTTTAATTTTTTGCATGAATAAATTTACATTTATCCATAGGAAATTAAAAAAAAAAAAAATTAAATTATATATTTTTTGCATAATATTAATGCCTTTTACATATAGTATAAAATAATTATAAAAGTGCAATAATATCCTTATTATTTTGAATTATCAATATATATATATAATAATTAAAAAAAAAGAAGTAACATATATGAAATAGAGAAAATATAATATTTTTTTTTTATAAATTGTTTTTTCTATTTTTAAACATTTCTGAATATAAACACACATGAATATTTTTTTTTAGGTGAACATAAAATGATTAAAAGCACAAATGATTTACAAAACAAAAATTCTATTAACGATGAATTACTTGTATGAACTCATATAACTATTAAATATAAATAAATATAAATAATAATTTTAATTTTTTTCATATTTACTTCTTATAGCAAGAAATTCAGAAAATTCAAGCAGAATTAAAAAAGAAAAATGGTGAATATGAGGAGCTAAATAATAAATATAGAGAAATATATGTTAAAATAATATTATATATTTTAATTTTATAAAATTATATAAAATATATATATCTTCTATAATAATTAGGATAAATATATTCACTTTTTTTTTCTGTAACATTCAGGGTTCTTATGTTTTGACAAAATCTAATTTAGAAGAAACAACAAATGTAATCATAAGAATAAAAAAAAAAAATAAATTAACAACCCTAAATATATACATATAAATAAAACCTAATGAAAATTTTTTTTTTTAAATATAAAAAGATTTTATACTCAAAAATAGAATATATGAATATTAATTGTATTAAATGATTTTAATTTATAAAATAGAAAATAATTTAAATATTATATATAATAAGAAAGGAAAATAATTACTATAGATAATAACTTAATATATTATAAATAAATAATTTATTAAATAAAAAAAGTTATAGATGAAAATTTTATTTATAAATTTTTTTATTTTTAAGAATTATGAGGGAGAAATACTAAAATTAGAAACAATATTAAGAGAAAAGGAAAATGAATATATGAATTTTAGGGTAATAATATTTATGTCTATATTTGATTTTTTTTTTTTTTTTTTCTTTTTTTTTTAAATTACAAACATATTAATAATATACAGGTTAATTTTCAAGAGTTATTAGAAGAAAAATGTAGATTAGATAGAGATATTGAGAATTATGAAAAAGCTATTTATGAAATAAACGAAAATTTGATATCATTAAAGGAAACACACAAAGTATTTGCAGCAATGCATATGTTATTTTATTAAACACATTAGTAGCATATATATATATTATTTTTTTAATATTATTTTTTTATTTATAGGAAGAATTAAAAGAAATTCAAGATGAAAACAACAATCTTTACTCTCAGATAGAAAAATTTAATGTAATTTACTTGCTATATTTTTAATGAACTTTGTATCGTTTTTACATAATATGTTACATTTAATTTAAATTATTTATATATCTCTATTAATTATTAAATATTTGTTTTATTATTTTAGGAAGAATTAGAAAGAATAAAAATAAAAAATCAAGAACTAGAGAAAATTAATGAAGTAAAAATTAACTTACATTTATTTCTTTTCTTTTTTTTTTTTTTTAAATAATTTTAAATAAAATTTTATCATACATCCATGTTAGGATAAAAAGAAAAGTTCTGACATTTTAAATAAGGAAGTTTCTGACTTTAAAGTAAAATATGCAAAAATAACAACAAAAAAGTAATAATAAAAAAACTGAATTATAATAATAATGAAATTTTTTTTTTTTTTTTTTAATTAGGAAGAAAAAAAGTTATTTAGAGAAGAAAAAGATAAGTTTAAGGTGGAACAAAATAAAATCGAAAAAGAAAAAGAGGAAATAGAAAAAAGTATCAAACAAATAGAAGAAGAAAAAGAGGAAATAGAAAAAAGTAGAAAACAAATAGAAGAAGAAAAAGAAGAAATAAAAAAAAAAAAAGAGGAAATTGAAAAAAGTAGAAAACAAATAGAAAAAGAAAAAGAAGAAATTAAAGAAGAAAAAGACAAAGTAGAAAAAAGTAGAAAACAAATCGAAGGAGAAAAAGAAGAAATAAAAGAAGAAAAAGAGAAAATTGAAGAAAGTAGAAAACAAATAGAAAAAGAAAAGAAAGAAATAAAAAAAGAAAAAGAGGAAGTAGAAAAAAGTATAAGACAAATAGAAAAAGAAAAAGTAGAGTTAGAAGACAATATAAAAAATATGATAATAATAAATAATGATTTAAATAATGAAGTTGATAATCTTAAAGCAGATAAATTGGTATGTAAATTTATATATTTACTTTTTTCTTTTTGTATATAACTATATATAAAAATAATTTTATTTTTATTTTAAAAAAAATTTCTTTAAAAATTTCAAAAATTATATAGAAAATAGAAAGCTATTCGAAAGAAATAGAACAAAAAATTAATCTATTAGAAAATGAAAATAAAATATTCAAGGTTAAAATTTTTTATTTAATTAACAAATCATAATTTTTTTTTCCATATAAATATTTTTTTTTTTTTTTTTTTTTCCTCATTTTAGAATAAAATAGAACAAAAGGAAAAAATGAAAAGTGATATGCTGGTAATAATACAATATATGTACAATTTCTTTTTATGTTAAAAAGAAAAAGTATATTATTTTAATATATATATATTGTTGTTTTTAATAGAATGAAATGAATTCTTTAGATAGTAAATTAAAGGAATTAGAGGTATGTGCTTAATAATGTAACTTAAAAATTTTTTTATAGTTATATAAAAAATTATCCTCATATATATATTTTATTATAATGGTTTTATATATGAAAAAGAAATGAATAAAATACTAAAATGAATGTTATACATTATAAATTATAATTTTGATTTTATATTGTTACAAAGACTAAATATATTTTGTCTTTTCACATTTTAGAAAAGTTTAGGAAATAAACAAGATGAAGTGCTTAAAAGAGACTCAATTATACAAGTTTGATAGTTAAATATGTTTAAAAAAATATAACATTTTCTATATATATATATATGTATGTTTTATTTAATATTTTAGATTCTATATAATAAATTAAAAGAGAAAGAAAATAAAATTGTTTTGTTTCAGGTAAATTTAAATATATGTAAAAATTAATTTATTCTCACTTAAATATATATTCATATATTAGTTATATAATTATTATAATTAAAATATAAACAATTATGATTTTTTTTTTTTTTTTTTTTTTTTTACATTAGAACGAAAATCAATCCTTGAAAAATTCTAAAAAAGAATTAAATAAAAAATTAGATGACAAAAAAAGTGAAATGGCAAAGATAGACAATATATTATATGAAGTAAAAGATTATTTTTAATTTTTATTGTTATAATATTTAATATTTTATTATTTTTTATAATTCTTTTTCAATTAAAAATTTCAGAAATTAGCTAAATTAATAATAAAAAAAAAAATTAGAGAAAGAGATGATTTGCATTTTGATGGGCATCCATATTCTTCACTTTTGAAAACAGTAAAAAAAAAAAAAAAAAAAAAAAGTTAATAATTTATAATAGTTTAAATATTTTGTTTTATTTTGTTTTTTTTTATTATTCCCTCTAAAGTTATGGTTTGGTTACATAGACATATGTAAATGCATATTAAAAACAAGAGATTCCTATCTATATAGTGGTAATAAAAATCATAGATTTATTTCTGCTTATGATACTGATCTGGTAAAAAATGAAATAATTTTTAATTATATATATATATATATATTATTTAAATTAATTTATGATATATTTTTATTTAATATGTTTTTTTGTAAATTTATCATAATACTTTATTTTTTAAATTATATTTGTATATATTTTTTTATTGTATAGTTTTTGGACGTTAAAGAAGAAAATGAAAATAAAGGGTAAAAAATATATTTTTTAAAATATATATATGTGAAAATTTTTATTTTACCTTTATTTTTATGCTTATTTTTTTTTATTTTTTTTTTTTTTTTAATAAGTTTGCTTTCCTATAAAAATGAAACAAGAGGAATTTTTTTTATAAATGAAGAAGAAATAAAAAATTTAATTTATGTTGGACCTTTTAATAAATTTAATGGTTATAATGTTGCAATTTGTAATGATAAGAATAATTTAGAAATATCTAAAAGTCATATTTGTTCTTACATATTTGAAGAAATGTATGAAACAAAAAAGGGAACAAAATTAGTTTTGATTAAAGAAAAAGAAAGTGGGAAATACTTGAGTGGGTTAAGTAGAAATTTATATTTTGATAAAAAAAAAAAAGGAGTTGACAAATTAGAATATATTAATGTTGTAAGTAAATTAATTAATTATATTACTAATGAAAAAGAAGACAATGAAAATATTGTTATAAAAACATCTGATAAAAAGCTAAAAATTGAAAGTGAAACAAAAACTTCTCTTGTAAAAAAAAGTAGTCCTTTAATTAATGAAGAAAAGAATGAAACAAAAAAAAATTTTACTAAAAAGGATAAAATGAGTAGCAAAAATGAAAAAGTGAAAAATACAAAATTAACAAATGCAATTAATAAAAATGAGATGGTAAATAAAGAAATGAATGAAGAAAATTTGCATAATTATAAAATAGCTAAAGATATGCTGTTAATATCTGATAGTAATAGTAGTACAGAAAATGATAGTATATATAGCTTCAAAAATAAAAATACTGATGAAGATGAATTTACACATAATGTTTTAAGTAAATCAATAGCAACCAATTATATAGGTAATAACAACATGTCATTTTTTAAATTCTCAAATAATTCTGATTTTAATAATACTGATGTTGTCTTAACAACTAAAAGAAATGAAGCTATTATATTTGAAATTTTTAATTATGACCAAATAGTTGAACATGATGCTATTAAATTTGCCTCCGAATGTGTTTTACATTTCCTTGTAAATTCTAATAATAATTTACAAAATATTTCTAACAAAAACAATGAAGAAGGATCCAGTTTTTTTTCTACTTTTGATGGGGAATGGTGCATTTTACCCGCATATTTATAAGAATAATAAAATTTTTATTTTTAAAACGATTAAAAATAATAAGTATATTTTTGAAGAAAATGAAAGAAAAAAAAAAAGAAAAAAAAATTTTTTTATGTAATTTTGCTTTTTATTGATATTTTTATATTAAAGTACTTTTTTTTAAATGTAATTTTTTTTTTATTCCTAAAATTTTTTTTTTTTTTTTTAGCTTATTAATAAAATATTCATGTGCCTTTTTTTTTTTTTTTAATCTTGTGTAATAATTTCTTTTTAATTTTTAAGAAAATTTCTTTTTTTTTTTTTTTTTTTTTTTTTT